GGTTGATTAATTAAGAAGGTTGGAGTTCTATAATTATAAATAAATTTAATACGAGTAGCAATATTTTTGACGTTCAAAAATTCGCCTTGGCAAGAATATCACTCACAATGTCCTGTTTTGATCCAAAATCCACATTTGCAATTGAAATCATACATGGATTCTGACGGCTTAATGCAGCAGTGGCTACAACATTTCCCTTACCAACATTTTTTGTGTTGGATCCTATTGGGAAAATAAAAACGTTGCCCTTTTGAAGTACCTTAAGAATGTGCTTGTTATCTGGGTTGGAGGTTGCCCTCGCAATGTGCACCGTGAACTTATCCCACTACGAGAGAGGCACAGAACGACACGAGAGAAACGTAAGCATGTAAGGTTTGCATAAAAGTTGAGCGAACCCTTTCCCATTCAGGCTGACTACATGCTGTGAATAAAAATACATGTGAGCACATGAAGAAAGCATGATGCCGTTAATAGAATCGATTACAAGCTAGCCAGTAAGTGGTTGTATTACTTCAAGACTAGCAGAAGGAGCATGAGCTTCGCATTACTCATCTTAATGACTTGGTTAAGAAATTCGTTCCCTGGAGGAAAAATGCGACATACTCCAAAAGGAGCTAAATTTTGTTGAAGGGGAGATAACTCAGTAAAAAAGCATGTGTCAAAGCGCTGAAGATTTTGCAAATACACAAGCTGATTAGTTATTTGACATTAACAGACTCTCAAAAGATTTAATGTAGACCAGTGAAGATAATCGAGCCTACTTTGAACATATGAATTGCGAAATGGCCAAGCTAAAGGATGAACTTCAAATGGCTAAAGTTGATTACTTCCTTATAATTAAAGATCGCAACGAAGCATAGGATAAGTTGGTTATGCTCTGTAATGAGCTAGAAAGTAGCAAGGCTATACTTTCTGCTGTGAAGTCCATGGTTGTTGATAGAAAGGCTGATGATGCCAAATATTTTGAGGAGTTCATGTTCGTAGGGAGAAACTATTGGAAATTTATTTAATCATGCGCAGTGGAAATAAAAATAAATTTCAATTTCCACCAATGATCTACTTTATATTTAGATAAAAACTGTGATAGAAGTTATACCTTTCTTTAATTTTGCAAACTCTTTTACTATTCTTTTGTTTCAACAATTCTGATTTGCTACCCATAACTGCTCAATTGTCAAACCTCTAATGGAATTCCACACAGAGAATAAGATGGTAGGAACTAGGGTTTTCTCCTCTTGTACTAGCAATAATGAAATTATCTACAAATTGAAAACCCTAGCGACTAATATAAGCACAATGGGCTTGGCCTGACCCGGTCCAATATTTAATTAATCCATTTAATTAAATCCGATCAATGAATTAATTAATCCAATTAATTAATTTGGACGTATAAATAAGCAACTCAATTAATTAATTTATCTAACGCTTGTTAAATTAATTAATTGACAAATTATAATATTCCAATTCTCCTTTTGTATGCAACCCATCAGGTCTCCGATCACGATACGTAACGATGTGAATTATTATTTTGATCTAATCAAAATCAATAAATTAAAACACTATTTTAATTTATCACCAATTTACGTTCGCCGTCCCAGATTGACATCTATCAATATGTCGGGGCAATACATGTGATGGAAAATGTCACGTGTTATGACAAAATCATACTTTTTCATTTACCATGAAACTATAATCTACTCGTCAATATGATCCGATCAATTACGAAATATGAAAGTGTGTCAATCTCGATTATCGATTATATATTTCATTCCATTATTAAGTCAATAAAAGTCGAAAACTCCTTTTCGACATCTAAGTACACCTTGGCCAAGGATTTCGCTATCGACTTAATTGAATGAAATGCAGATCATAATCTCTTACTATCTAAGAGTGATGATTCCTCTATTGATCATTCAAAATCTTCATACGATTCTTGATATACTCGAATGATGACTTAGCAGCTCTTGACAGAGCAACATCCAACATCGTTAAAGTATGTCTGTCCTCATATAAGGCACTATGATGATCTCAAGTCAAAGGACCAATTTAACTACCGAACGTTAGAGATTAACCACTAACACTTAGATATCCATGTGGAAAATCTTAGCTGGTCTCTAATGTTTTGTTCTATAACAAAACATCTACGTGTTCAATCAAGTGTCATCATACTTTAGCTTGTGAGATTGACTACTTACTTCACAAGTAAGAAATGCCACACATGATAATCTATCTATAATATTGATATCCGTATCTTGGTGTTATTTACGACCACAGATGATTTAAGATTCAATCATATGTAATTTGTATCTCACAATCACAACTCCTTATAATCAACAAATTACGACTATTTGAATTTACAGACTCTATTATTTATTTAAATTAAATAATACATCTGCTATAAATTGTATCGACTATATGCTAAAAGTGTTTATGTTGAAAGTTGATTGGACTTAGGGCATAACACTTACAGAAACAAAGTCCTTGACATTATCATGAGTTTTCACCTTGAATAGAATATAGATTTTTTATAGGTTTGTGAAGCTACACCTAGCCTTTCGAAGTTCCTTTGTTAACCTCCGGGACTTCAACTGTTTCTCCCCTTTTCATCAAATGCTAAAATTCTACCCTTTTTTAGTTCACATTATTTAACAAATGTTTTGTTATTGGTGTTTCGCGAATTCGTTTATTTATCTAAATCGTCAACTATGTTTCGCATATTTGTTTGTGAAGGGTTTAACAAAGTAGCTTATAAAACATATGTCATTCAACACTGTATCATTTAACGTATGATATTATTGAAACGACTGTTACTAGTTTTTCTCCTTTTACAAACATTTTCTTTATGTAGCTATATTGATTTTGTCATTACATTTCCTTATTGAGGACGACCATGTGCTCCCCCTATACATCACTTTTGAGAAGTGAATTTCAATCCTACACTTTTGGAAGGATTGATGTCGCCTTTAACAAGACAAGCCTTGTCTTTAATCATACTTCCACTGGCGAACATGATCTTGCCATTACTTGAAGAATCATCAGCGAAGTTGACCTCTCCATTCGTTAGAAAATCATTGACGGAGTTAACCTCACTACTAGTTAGGACTTATCAGTAGGCGAGAAAAGCTCGCCTTTCAACTTTCCATTCGTAAAACAACTATGACCTCGTTTTAGGTCTATCTTCGGTTTAACTATTTTCTTACTCATGTTTCCCCTAACACTCGTGAAGTCCTCTTTCTAGCATATAGGTCTTGTAATCCATCCTTCATATCATCGGATATTTGCATTCCTAAATGAGGTTTTTCGAGCTTATTTTCTTCGATTGTCCATACAGTATTGATCACAAGAGCCCTCATGGTTGCTTTTCTTAAGGCACTGAGGTAACACTCACGTGTTGTTACCTAATTACCTTTTCCCATGGCTATCCTTTGGAGTTTTGGATTTTAGGCACAAGAGATGGATTGAGGTGGTCCTCTAAGGATTTCGTTGTATGCAAACGTTTCTGTTGTCCATAATCAAGTAGTCTATATACCCATGGAATACAGTTGGTTCCTCGCCTATTTCTATTGCCAACGTAATCTTTTCCCTTAGGATCATACCATCTCCAGTAAAGCTTTTATAGTTTCGACCATGGGTGTTTAGAGGTAATCCGCTTGCATTTAATTAAAGGCACTCCCAAACAATATTTATAGAGCCACCATTATCCACCAACATGCGATTAGGCCGTTACGAGCTAATACCGTCTGTACTACCAATGCATTGCAATGGGAATATATGATTCCCTGTTCATCACGACTATTAATTTAAATGTAATTAGAAGAAATGCAGGTCGGGAATTACATTAGATCCAGAACTTTTCAGTGTTAGCTTCTTAGCGACTTTAGCGTAATTCTTCTACCAACTTCTTGTTTCCTATCTAAAGTGGGGACCTCCGATTATAGTATGAATTTCTCTCACTAGAGGTTAAGAGTGTGAATTCTTTGCCTGTGCTCGCAAATGAGTCCATTTGTCATGGTCCACCTTCGCGACCTCTCCCCCTAGTATTTGAGTATGAAGGCTTCTGATTTTCAGAGCCTTCACACGTTAATTCCTGTTGACTCTACGACTTCATCGTCCTAATTACTTTGAAGCACTCTTTTGTACCATGATTCCTGCTACAATGAATTTTACCTTTCGGTTCTCAAGGAGCAAAGGTACTTCACCTGCTGCTTGTGAGGGGCCTAGAGAAATCGTATGGTTATGATGCATCGATACAGACGCTTGTATCCGATACGAAATTTGTCTGTTCAAGTTGGGGCTATATATGTAAAAAATTGATATGCATTTATTAGAATTGTATAAATATTGGTGTATTTATAATATGGTGTACACACAAAAATAATTGTAGCAATATAACCTCTATTCTTTATTTTATACTAGACTAGATAAGAAGGCCAAAAAAATCGACTAATGCAATTCATCTAAACTGATGATCACTAGTAATGTGGCTACTGCTACATGTATGTTCTAATTTTATTGAACAATGTGAAATTGTTCGAGATCACTTTATATACATTGCATTATTTTACACACCCTCTCCTTAATTGGAATTGAATTTTTTAAAAATAATTTTATTAAACGTTGGAAGTTCCAAAATTGACCTTGAAAGGGCAAAAAGGACACGAGTTAATGAACCAAAAGGTGAGGGATACTTCAGTACAATCACAAATAATGCTTGTGGTACATCGAGATTCCAAAAGGGTGTCCAAAATGGATATTCGGCGCCTCGGTATTGGACGAGGCGCTGGTGGGCTTTGGAGTGGCAGGCACCTCGGCAGGCGCTGAGTGTCCATTTTGGACACCTCGTTGGATACTACAATGTACCCATAGCATGATTGGTGCAATCACACTTCATGGCTGAATGAAAAAGCGGGCCAGCTCTTACATCCACCGTCGATGCCAAGCTGTCATACAGACCTCACATATAGATTTAAATCATAACAACCAACGACCCCGATCTTCAAAATCATGAATTTAAGCTTCATTTAAGCTCAATTTTTTCTACGTCATTCCCCGATTTTACACAAGACGCCTCACACCTCGTACACAAACCCACAAACACACGCACCCGTTTTCAAGAACACCTCAGAGGTAATCTTTCTATCTTGATTGATCTTGAATGATGGAAAGTCCTTTTCTTTACATTATTATTATAATTTTTATTTTTACATAACTTTATTTTTTTTGTTCTTATTTTGTTACGGGATCGATTGTTTATCCTTTTAATGAATCTTGATCTACGGATCTGCAAATGGGCATTCCAAGTATAGAAATTTATCTAAAAGATAATGTGTTATTTGGTGCGTATATGTGTTTCAATGCATGGTTATTGGTGGAAGTTTGCATTATATGGGATCTCCTCCCAACTCATTAAATTAAATCTAGAACTGGGATACCCATATATTGATTGCATTATGGTATTGTTGGTTGTATTGATATCTTTGCAGCTACAAGGGAATCATTGCCCTGATTATATCATTTATGTCCAATATATAGGTGTATTTTAAATCACACCGCTTAAATATTTGATCAATGTGGTATTGTTATGAGGCCATATGGTGTTCTTTGATAACAAAAGAATTTGGCAAATCGTAAACCATCTCCTTTATAACATTTGACGGTTTGATCTGTTCGTACCTTTTCTCTTTAGGGTGGTGAATCTTCAAATCTGGTTTCACAATTGCTTTCCATGGAAAACATTGTGCATAAATTGGGTCCAGTTATTATACTCATACCTTATGTGATGGATTTTACACTCAAGTCTCCATATCAATTTTATTTAATGCAATTGCATCTTTTGTGTTTTTTGAGTAAAATTTTTAAATAATATATGAGAACAATTCCATTACGTTATGTTCTATCAAGATCTAGATGAATTTCCTTCTATCTTCTTTTGGTATCACATCAATTGAAGAAAATTATATCCAATATCCATGGTAATGAATAACCGATCTCATAAAAGTTGAAAGTCATTCTATTTTTTTCTAGAGCATATTAAGAGATGGCAGAAGCAGATGATATTCAGCCTCTTGTATGTGACAATGGAACAGGAATGGTCAAGGTATGTGTCCACCTAAATTCCAATAACTTCTACACTTTATTGTTCCAATACTTCCAGTGAACTAAGAGTTCATGTTTAGAGCTTATAGTTTATGTTGATCTCAAAATTGTCAGGCTGGATTTGCTGGAGATGATGCTCCGAGGGCTGTCTTCCCCAGTATTGTGGGGCGCCCACGTCACACTGGTGTCATGGTAGGCATGGGCCAAAAAGATGCCTATGTTGGTGATGAGGCTCAATCCAAGAGAGGTATTCTGACTCTGAAATATCCAATTGAGCACGGAATTGTCAGCAATTGGGATGACATGGAGAAAATTTGGCATCATACCTTCTACAATGAACTTCGTGTGGCTCCAGAAGAACATCCTATTCTGTTGACAGAAGCTCCTCTTAACCCCAAGGCCAATCGTGAAAAAATGACTCAAATCATGTTTGAGACTTTTAACACTCCGGCTATGTATGTCGCCATTCAAGCTGTTCTTTCCCTTTATGCCAGTGGTCGTACAACTGGTAAGAAAAATGCTAAATCCCTTGTAGATCTCCATTTCTTGATCCATGGCTCCCCCCCCTCCCCCAAAAAAAATCCTCAAGAATTTTAATATTTAACTGTTTATTAGATCAATACATGTAAAAGATCTACTGGTACTGTATTTTCAGTTTCCTATTAAGCACAAGTAACTAAATTACAGTACAATGGCATAAGTCCTGCTCCGATTGCATGATAAATAGTAAATACTGTTTGAACTTTTGAACTAAGAGAGTGTTTGGCTAAACCTAAAATAAAATTAATGTTTCTTAAAATCAACTTCTAAGCTTAGTCAAACATCTTTGTATCTTTAATATTTACTTCAAAGTTCAATATTATTTCCCAAACTTGTTTGGCTTCCTCTTACCTACTTGAAAAAGAAAATTTACCCATTTCTAGACGTAGCCAAAAGTCTAGGTCAAGTGGTAAGAGCGAAGCATCACCAGGTAAATGAACTGTTTGGGCCTCCTTTCAGCGGGGAGGGTGAAATCGTTTGTTCTACTTTTATAAAAGGAAAAAAAAACACTAATAATTCTTAACATGTAAACCCCTCTCTCAAGAAAATACATCATTATTGGGAAATATTTGCTGAGATTGACAAAATTTTTGTTGTGTTTGATCGTCTGCAGGAACTTCATTATAATTATTCCTGTGACATATTGAAATCTTGTATGCCATTTTCCTTTAAGTGGAAAACAAGAAGACAAACAGGAAAGTTGTCAATATCTGTAGACAATAAATGTAGTCCTAGTTATATGTTCTGTACGCTATTAAGTGCCATTGGTTTAGAGCCTCAGAAGCCAAAGCATTAAACTTATTGTTGATATAGCATAAAAGAAATTTCTGCCATCTGTTTAAAGCAAAAAATTACTTCTCTAATCTGCTAAAGTATACTATGCAGAAATATGATGTATTTTTCTCATTGCCAGGAATCGTTCTGGACTCTGGGGATGGTGTTAGCCATACAGTCCCCATCTATGAAGGTTATGCACTCCCCCATGCAATCCTGCGTCTTGATCTAGCTGGGCGTGATCTCACTGATGCCCTCATGAAGATACTGACAGAGCGAGGCTACTCTTTCACCACATCTGCCGAGCGTGAAATTGTTAGGGACATAAAAGAGAAACTAGCTTACATTGCTCTGGACTATGAACAAGAGCTAGAAACTGCAAAAACCAGCTCGTCTGTGGAGAAGAACTATGAACTGCCTGATGGACAGGTGATCACTATTGGTGCCGAGCGATTCCGCTGCCCTGAAGTACTTTTCCAGCCATCAATGATTGGGATGGAAGCTCCTGGCATACATGAAACTACTTATAACTCTATCATGAAGTGCGATGTTGATATTAGGAAGGATCTGTATGGAAACATTGTCCTCAGTGGTGGTTCAACAATGTTCGGTGGAATTGCTGATAGGATGAGCAAGGAGATTACTGCATTAGCTCCAAGCAGCATGAAGATTAAGGTGGTGGCTCCTCCTGAGAGGAAGTATAGTGTCTGGATTGGAGGTTCCATTTTGGCCTCTCTCAGCACATTCCAACAGGTA